TCAGGGTATCAGAATAAAAGCCGGGTGATTACCCACTGAGACAATCGGCCCTCGGGCGCTTATAAATCGCTACTGTGAGATAATAATTTGAAACTTGGCTTTAGCCTTTTTTGTAAATTCTATAGAATTTGTTTTTGTTAGTTAATGCCACACTAAGAAATAATCATGACGGAGGCCTGTAAAATAATCGAGGCTGGACAAGTAAAAACAGTGATTGATATTATGAGCATGCAATCAACCAAGCCACCGAGTCTCACCAAAGGATACTTTAAGCCGTGCCTTACGACATGTATAGATAAGATAGACACAATTTTATGGATAACAACTTATTTAATACTGTAAAAAGCGACGTTTCGGTATAGATCCTTGCTTGACAACGGTATAAGGATCTATACCGAAACGTCGCTTTTTACAGTATTAAAGAAGTTGTTATCCATAAAATTGTGTCTATCTTGTCATCCGCCAACTTCTAAGTAATGCCTATCAAACAAGTTGACATGTATAGATGGCTGGGGCCTATTCTGATCCGAGATTAATGTATATCCAGCTCTTGTTGTTATGTTAACCTAAACGGAAACAAAATAGCTTCGTGGTAGAGATGAATAGTGCTGACGACAGATTAAAGACCCACACCACCAAACATTTGCAGAATCCAGTTAACACGGACACATCATATACACTATCAGATTTCTTCGATTTCGCCAACCGAGTGTTAATTTTGTATTAATGATTTTAAAATTATAAAAATTATAAACATATGACATAGAAGAATATTTACAATCACAAATGTTTACTTTGGAAGGTTTAGTGTGGGTTCTGTCGTTAAAGAAGTAAATATATTGATCTGGAATAAATATTGAAGATCATTATCAAAGTATATGATTCAAATATCAAATACCGTGAAAATATCTATGAAAACACCCGCGTTCGATATGGAGCATAGCATGCAATTTCTCTTTATCATATAAGTTTCGCAACATTTGGTACTCACCTTGTGTTTATCGATTACCAATCGATCACTGATCACGCAACTGTCTCGCACACAGGAGTATACTGTTACACGTCCACTCCTGTTCGTCGGTTCTTAACAAGTATGATATTACCCAGTCAATTAATCAATCTTCGATCAATCGTGCTACCCCGGCCAAAACAAGCGAGTGGACGTTATATGAGAAATGCCAGACGAAACCCCACCATGTTCCCAAACCGCAGACACCGAATAACACCACTCGAAACACGTCTTTTAACTTGATCTACAGACATTAAGGCACTGTATCACATCAGAATCATTAAATCCTGTTAAAAGGACGAGAAAAATCCTTCAAGATGTCTGAGCTAATTTCTCAAACGTGGAAATCACAGCCCGACGTCTCGGCTGTTTATGTGAGTTTAATACAACCCTATAGACTCATGTCCTTAATCCCTCCATATACTTGTTACCAGAATAGATATCCAGCCCCATGAAGCATTAATTCCTAGTACCCGACGCCAGACGAATGCATTGACTGTATATTATTTAGGCTTATACGATCGGCAGTCCTAATAAAGGTACATATTCAACTGACGGATTACCTCTCGACAAGCTGGTTATATCACAGTCTTTTAATCTCTCTTATGGAATTGGTATTATTTTGAACAATACTTAAGCCTTGTTTTGCAGCCTTCAAAGAACAAGAAACGCTCCCCGCTACATATGGCTTATAATGGTACATATCTATAGTTATGAATAACCAACAAGCGGCGACCTGTCAGACTGGCGCTGTGTCTTTATCAGGAACAGATATACAACTTATTAATATCTCAGTTGTAAAGTATGTCTTACCTCAATATGTTTTTCATTCAAATATAGGAAGGCGCGATATAATGAATATATAATGTACAAAACATGAAGTCACTGGTTTGCTTTGAATCATTTTGAAATGTCATATTTTATATTTGTAAAAAATATTTCCTGGACTGTTTATTTGCTTTGAGTGAGTGAGTGAGTGAGTGAGTTGGGTTTAACGACGCTTTGAACAGTATTCCCTTTATATCACGGCGTGTCAGCTTATTGTGGGAGGAAAGCCCCAAGTGATGCAGGTCTTAGACGTTTATCACATTGGTGAAATCCACGAGCAAGGGTATGGTGCTGACAAGTCGAGAAACACAATCGAACCCACAATCATAGGTTTCTGGCGTACCCAAGGGACGCAACCCTGCACAGCGAATTGCGGCGCCTAAGACTACTGGGCCACCCGTGCCCCCGTTTAAGAGCTTGGAATTTGTTAAGGTTCAAATGTTATTGAATTTTTACATACATCCAATGAGGGTGTATGCTTAAGTCTGTGTTAGACTATGAATGACCTCCGATTAGGTCCTTCATATGCACATGCAGACCTTGTATACTACTCAAAAGAAGTTAAAGAAAACCCGATTCTTTCACGACAAATCACCTACAGTAAAAAGAAAGAAACTGTGTTTCCTTAAACAAAATTGAGTAGTATACATGTACATGTCAGCATGGGGCTATTTCAGTCTTGCGTCAGAATCAATTTTTAATTATCGTTGTGAACTAAACAACCCACCCAGGAACACCAAAGCACAATGTTTACAAAACACACGAACACATGCATGTGAGTCTAATGAAATATTTGTTTCTACGACTCGGGGTACTTAAAAAATCTTCCTGCATTGCATGATACAAAACAGACAATAAAAACACGTAGGAAGTCAAGTACAGAGCAAATATTTGCATCGATACCTAACCGGCATGCGTGTTCTCTGTGTGTCGGGGCTTATTGAAAACCACCCAGCCGTGCTTTTCAGGATATCGACGACCGTCTTGTCAATAGGTTCCGTATTGATTTGCTGATTTCGACCTGACTTGTCAAAGAAAATTAAACTTTAATTACCAGATCGATGTCACTAACTAGGCCTCGGTCGGCTCCAGGCTCACACGGGAGGTGGTCGTGTCGCTTGGTCAGCGTAGTGTTGAGCACCGACTGCTCGCTGCAAGACACCTTTATAGGGCCGGGCAACCCACAGTCAACCGTGACAGTCTTACCAGGGGGATCAATACATGGGGTTTCAACCCTGGTGTGCACGAAGTCAACCGAATATCAGAATCATATATCCGGCATATGCTGTCTATAACGTCTGCCATTACCTTGAAGTTATGTGCCCTGTTTCAGACTAAAGCGACCATTAACCGCACTGACTGTTATAACCTTGAGGTCATGCCCTTGTATCAGACTAAAGTGGTCATCACCTGCGTTGACTGTTATAACCTTGAAGTCATGGGCCCTGTATCAGGCTAAGGCGACAATCACATGCGTTGACTGTTATAACCTTGAAGTCATGGGCCCTGTATCAGGCTAAAGCGACAATCACATGCGTTGACTGTTATAACCCTGACGTCATGGGCCCTGTATCAGGCTAAGGCGACAATCACATGCGTTGACTGTTATAACCTTGAAGTCATGGGCCCTGTATCAGGCTAAAGCGACAATCACCTGCGTTGACTGTTATAACCTTGAAGTCATGGGCCCTGTATCAGGCTAAAGCGACAATCACATGCGTTGACTGTTATAACCTTGAAGTCATGGGCCCTGTATCAGACCAAAGCGACAATCACATGCGTTGACTGTTATAACCTTGAAGTCATGGGCCCTGTATCAGGCTAAGGCGACAATCACATGCGTTGACTGTTATAACCTTGAAGTCATGGACCCTGTATCAGACTAAAGCGACAATCACCTGCGTTGACTGTTATAACCTTGAAGTCATGGGCCCTGTATCAGGCTAAGGCGACAATCACATGCGTTGACTGTTATAACCTTGAAGTCATGGCCCCTGTATCAGACTAAAGCGACAATCACCTGCGTTGACTGTTATTACCTTGAAGTCATAAGCCCTGTATCAGGCTAAGGCGACAATCACATGCGTTGACTGTTATAACCTTGAAGTCATGGGCCCTGTATCAGGCTAAAGCGACAATCAACTGCGTTGACTGTTATAACCTTAAAGTCATGGGCCCTGTATCAGGCTAAAGCGACAATCACATGCGTTGACTGTTATAACCTTGAAGTCATAGGCACCTGTATCAGGCTAAAGCTATCATCACCACGGTTGACTGTTATTACCTTGAAGTTATGAACCCCTGTATCAGGCCAAAGCGACCATCACCTGGGTTAACTGTCATTACCTTGGTGTAAAGGCCCCTGTATCAGACTAAAGCGACCATTCAACCGCACTGACTCTTATAACCTTGGGGTCATGCCCCCTGTATCAGACCAAAGCGACCATCACCTGCGTTGACTGTCCTATATAGCTATGTCCACTGATATCTACGTTGACTGCCATTGCTATACAGCCATCTCTATATAGCAGCTCGGCTGTTATAGCTCTTCACATGACAACTAGATAGTGCTGATTTAGGTACTTCCATATAATATCATCTGATACTGCCTGACTAGTACTGATCAAAGACTTCCATATCATGGGCAAACAGCTTACTAACCAGGAATACACAGACAGGGGCCGGACTAAAGGAGTTTTACTGTAGTGCGTGAGAGAGATGAGTTAATGCCGCTTTTAGCAATACACCCAGCCTATAACGGGGGAGACAGTGTCGAACAATGTCTGCAGATGTGTTTTTATGTTTTTTGTTGTGTTTGTTGTTCAAAGCCGCATTCAGCAATATTCCAGCTATATGACGGCGGTCTGTAAATAATCAAGCCTTGACCAGGCAATCCAGTGATTGATATCATGATCCAATGAAATTGGAATACGATGACATGCATCAACCAAGTTAGCGAGCCTGACCACCCGATCCCGTTTGTTGCCTCTTTCAACAAGCACAGTCGCCTTTTAAGGCAAGCACGGGTTGCTGAAGACTTATATTTTACCCCTGATCTTCATCGGTATGTCTGCAGATGAATACATACATATAACGTCTTACAAAAACCTTCGAATTGCCTTTTTATACATCCTATATTCGGTATAATGACCCATTGTATTTATTCTCAATGCTTAAAGATGAACGCCCACGCTGTATCTGAATGTGTGTGATGTATAACAATTACGACACATGAGGGTATTTTGAAGAATCTGAAAATGAAAAGTCGGATTCCGTGTCTGTCGTCGCCATTTTAATGGCATTTCACGTTACAAGTGATTATTACAAACATCATGCAGCAGATATACAGGGCACTTGTAAGTCTGTCAATCATGACTCAGACATAACGATGGCGCGAGAACAGTCCACGTGTGCTGCACCGGGATCTCAGTGAGTAATACAGACATGTACTCCTGTTGGCGTATATTAGCTCGCAACACTAACCAGTAATCATGAAATCTGTCACCTTAGGAATATTACTAGCATGGTATATTATATATATATATATTACGATAATAAATAATTATTGTAAATCTTGTGCAAACATAAAAAAACCCATTAAAAATGCTTCTAACATCAAATGAAGACACTGTCTTAACAACACCAAAAAACTCCCGGTGTGATTTGATAAGAAATGGAGGCAAAATGTCATTTATAAATTTTTGTTATTTCTTTTGGGTTTGATTTTTTTAAATGAAAATGTTAATAATAATGACCATTAATTGTTACATATGAGTAACTTAAATCCACGAAGAGAAAGGCTATAATGTGGTTTCAAAGCTTTGTAGAGTCGCTTAAAACGAAAGCAGTGACGTCATCAACATGCGGTAAATCATTGCAATAGTAGACTAAAAACAGAAAACATTATCCGTTTTTGGTCAGAGCAAAGTCAGTGCAGTGTAAATGTAGATGATCCCACAAACAGCTCACGAAATCTTCGAAAATAACTGTGTACAGGTTACCATATACACAACCTAAATTTACAACTCCAAACTCATCAGGGTTTTCATTTCTTTTCAGATAACTGTCACGATTGTCTTCATCATGAAATAAGCACAAGAACACATCGCACATAAGGTCGCTTAAATATAACCAGAACCATTTGAGCACATTGACCTGCCATGTTGTTCGCCGTCCTCTCTGGTAGCAGGGATTTAACGAGCGCTTCTGGCGAAACCTGCCAGCCTGTCCAGCCTGTCTCAGTACTGGCTGTGTGACATAGTGGTGTGTGTCGCGAGAACCTGCCACTGTCTGAAGAGCCAGATGACAGAAAACACTACCCAGTCACCTAACACCGTGGTACTAACTAGATGATGTGTCACCTCTGATTTAGTCCCAAAATGTTTGACCGATTTAATCAGACACATACAACCTTGAACCGACCTCGGTCAGTCCAGCGTTCTCCCCACGAGTTACATGTAGTCTCTATGTACCCCTGTATTTGAAGATACGTATGTTGACAAGCGTTTGTTATCTTGCGTGGCCAAATGGTTTGATGAACATCAGGCTTAGTGAAAAAGTATAGGTGAAATACTAGATTTTTGACATTCTCACTCGATAGAATCTATTATATTGCAAAGTGTTATTGTCGTCAAACTTTTCTAAACATGTCTACTCTCGTCTTTTTAAACCCAAAAATCGATTAAATGAAACAATGTACAAAGGCACACTTTAAATAAAAAAACAAATCACATTCAAAGTAACCTTTCATAAAAGCGTATATATTTATCAAACCACCTGATTTCGCTTTTGTGGGTCTGAAGAAAATGGTTTGTTTCAGAAATACTCTTGCTAAAAGAATTGACATTTCTCCCTCATGACATTATGACGCTAACTCTCATATATATGACATTTGCATTTATTCGAAAATAGTACAACCCATTATAAGCTATGCATTGAATTCTAGTTTTAAAAGCGTAATGGAAAAGACATATTCTTTGTATTATGTAGGCACTATGTGCTGCCAAGACACCTGACACACTACAATAAAAAAACGTCAACGCCCAAAAATAACCAGCCTCGATTATCCGCCAAAATTCCGTTGGGGGGAGTGGGGGTGGGGGGTGGGAGGCAAAATACTGGTGAAAATCATATAGATGTTCGTGATGAACCAGATGATCGCGAAAAAGGTCAAATTTCCTGCCCTACCGGTAGCGCCTGCCACTTATACAAACTACATAAAAATGTAGGTGTAATGTGCGAATTACACAAGTAAGCAAGTAAAACATTGTCAAAGAAAGTCAAAAAGGGAATAATGATAAATGACATTATGTTTTCTAAAACTTCACGCAAACCAAAAAACATTTCGAGAAACATTAGTGTCAGTGTGAACAGGACAATGAATGTATAATTTCCTTGATTTGTGTCATTAAAGTCCTTGACGGGGATAACATACGGAGAGTTACTTATTGTTTTAACACCAATCGGGGCGGTGGGGTAGCCTAGTGATTAAAGCGTTCGCTCGTCACGCCGAAGACCCGGGTTCGATTCCCAACATACAATGTGAAGCCCATTTGTGTTATCCCCCGCCGTGATATTGCTGGAATGGTGCTAAAGGCGGCGTAAAACCATACTCACTCGCGCCGATATGAATGGCATTTCAGTCATGTTACAGCGTGTCAGCATCGTGTTGAAGAAAGTCCATAGTGATGCGGGTCCTAGACTATCACCCACCAGCACGGCTATGGTGCGGACAAACCCATATAATCAGGATTTTCACCCACGATCATCGGATTCTTGCACGCCTCAAAGATGCGTGATGACATTTATACGAACATAAACCTTCACATAATACCACAGTTAATAGTTTACAAAAATAACAATGGCAAACCAAAAGACAGTCTTACTGGAATGTTGGCAAACTAGAACTTCTAACCTTTCAGAACATCTCAATAAAACATCTCAAACACGGAGCATCCCAGAACATATTCCAGACAAATTGTCATCTTATATTATGACAAAGTATGCAACAGGTCTCAGGCACGTGTGATTACTATATGGTATATTTATCTTGGTGTACAAATAATACTGAATGAGATCAGAAGATGTCACAATTATATATTCACGATATTCCAATAATTATCCCTCATTTCATGGATCTGTTGCAAGGAAACACAAGGTGACAATGTTTCGTATTCCTCGCTGATTACCAAGAGTTGTGATGAGGTATCATCGTTCATAGTATCCTATATCACATACTGCAGCGTCGAGTCAACGTAGTATAATCAGACGTGGACGTTGGTGATAAGTTTAGTTGTAATCATTGGTCTTCATGTTATTTTTAATACGTGGGTCCTCTGGGGCGAAAATATGCAGATCCACACAAACCATACACATAAACCATATGTGTTTATGGTCTGGACGAAATTTTTCAGAGGATGAGTTGCAATCTTGTTGAAACAAGACACCATTACCCATAGCAACGATAATTGGAGATCACATATCCACTTGATTTTCTCCCACAGTTCAGTATCTATATGTAGACGTATATGGTCGGTATTGGGTCATAACAGACGACTGAGGCAGACGACATATTGTTGACCTTGACACTGACACTGTTGTGGGACGTATTGAGCAAGTCTTCTTGATAGTTCCTCCATTGGTCCACATCGTCTTCTTGACGTCTTTGAACATCGCCATCTTGGTCCAGGCACAGCGCCCTCTATCCATAAAGCCGTCCATCTTCCAGAAGAGCGCCTGGCGGGCTTTAGAGGCCTCTGTGGGACGACACATCCGTCTGTTGATGGCATCCAGTTCCTCATCACTCAGAGGGACCAGTTTCTTTGGCTGGGGAGGAGGAGGGGGAGAGAGGGACCCTCCCACCTGAGGTCTATGTTGGTACCAGGGAGAAGACATGGTCGGCATTTTGACAGATTCCAGATTGGCAGGTACTTGCCTGAAATTATGAAGCACCATTTGACAAATATAAAAAAAAAAATTTTTATGAGGCAACGTTGAATCAATGGGATACCATGTACATTTATAAATGACTTATATGTATAGCATGTAAATGCTGAAACGGTAAAGCGATTGCAAATGCAATTTTTCAGTGTGTATACATTTATATGTCCCAAAACAGATTAGAAAACATAGCCAATATACATTAAAATACGTAAATAACTTAACTGGATGATGTGTACCAATGATCCTTTATAACACGTTACGAGTTTGGTGCTGATATTCACATACTTTAAAATTTTACGTGCATAAAGAAATAAAAATTACTCCCAGGTCAACTTCTGGCAATTGTAAAATGACGTTTCTTGTTATGTCTTGAATAGTAAAGCTACCTGAGTATTCCAGAAAAGTAGGTATATTCTTGACAATCAGGCACGCACTTTCTACCCTGCCAACCGTAGAATCGCCATGAATATCTCACTGGTTGTGAAATCGTAGGTTTAAATCCGTTGAGAATGGAATCTTTTCTGAAAAAAATAAATTTAGTGAAATAAAAAATATAAACGACTGAAAAAAATAACTGAAAAAAGTCACCGTATCTTGGGCAGTTGTTTACCAAAAGCAGAAGAATATATCAGAAAACGAAACAAAATAATAATAATGCGACTGACAAGAATAACATTTACCTCATGCAGACAATTATACTACCTCACGTGAACGTTCTCAGAATCATTACAAAAGATCACAATGTTATTGTCTGTGGTGCTAATGAGAAAACTGCCTACCTGTTTCAGTCAGCTGTAAATACTAACATCCAGGCGGGTCTCCTAGCTACATCCCACGTGATTGCACGTGCAGCACGTAGATCAATTATCTCCAGATAATGTACAAAACAAACACCCGTCACACCTCCAAATTGCGTTAATCCTCTATAAGGATCCAGGACATGGGCGATATTTCACACTGACTGATTCGTCAAATTACTTCTCCGATAACCACCGCCATTAATCATTCAACTTTTTCTAGAAGTCTGTTTTCCTTGCCATTCGTTTTCAGTCAATACGAATTCATTGAGTCCTCGCGTCGAACGTAGAACAGTACACTTGATTAGCATATACTCAACCGCTTGGCTTTTCAGATCACTGGGGCAAAGGTTTGCTGTTTAAAGCTTATCCCTCATGTATAAAAATCCCCTTTGAGAATTATCTTTAAACAGTCGAGGCACCAATCAGTTGTATGGGAGATCGATATATCGATATAATTCATTGTATTCATTCCGTTGTTATTGATTGGTAATTAATCGCTCGGAACGCTGACTATCCGAGATAACAAATGAGGACTGAAGCGTCTTGCGGGGAAGGTAGGCGTGGAGGGAAACATAAGATTCGTGGTCGGCTGATAACAGTGTAAGCACACCCGACCCCGTGACTGAGACAATCATAGACTTGGTCAAGTCTCTTGTAGTTCTTCGGTAACGTAATAGACTCCGTAACTGAGACAATCATAGACTTGTTCAAGTCTCTTGTAGTTCTTCGGTAACGTAATAAACCCCGTGACTGAGACAATCATAGACTTGTTAAAGTCTCTTGTAATTCGTCGGTAACGTAATAGACTCGGTAACTGAGACAATCATAGACTTGGTCAAGTCTCTTGTAATTCTTTGGCAACGTAACATACCCTGTAACTGAGACAATCATAGACTTGGTCAAGTCTCTTGTAATTCTTCGGTAACGTACCATACCCTGTAACTGAGACAATCATAGACTTGGTCAAGTCTCTTGTAATTCTTTACAACATAATCGACATAATAGACTTGCTCAAGTATAATCGAATTCTTCGGTAACGTAACATACCCTGTAACTGAGACTATCATAGACTTGGTCAAGTCTCTTGTAATTCTTTGGCAACGTAACATACCCTGTAACCGAGACAATCATAGACTTGGTCAAGTCTCTAGTAATTCTCTACAAACATAATCGACATAATAGACTTTCTCAAGTATAATCGAATTCTTCGGTAACGTAACATACCCTGTAACTGAGCCAATCATAGACTTGGTCAAGTCTCTTGTAATTCTTTGGCAACGTAACATACCCTGTAACCGGACAATCATAGACTTGGTCAAGTCTCTTGTAATTCTTCGGTAACGTAATATACCCTGTAACTGAGACAATCATAGACTTTGTCAAGTCTCGTCTCCATTGTTTGCTAACACACAAGTTCCGTAACCGAGACAATCAAGTCTTGGTGACGTCACTTGTACATTCTCTGTTAACACACCCGTACCGTAACTGAGACAGCATATCTCATAATGAAGTCTCTTGTACGTAACTTCCTTATTAAGACACACGTACAGTAACGGAGACAACATAGACTTGGTGTACATGTACATTTCGTGAAAGTATACCCAACCCCGTGACTGAGACCACCGTAGACTTGACATTTTGTCTCAAAGTAATCTGTCCCCGAAAAAAGTGCCAAAAAATAACTCAGATTTCATTTTTTTTTAAATCGTCCACTGGACATGCCGGATGCTCTGAAAAATGGTGTGTTGTGGGGCAAAATGATGTTAATCTCATCCATTTGGAGAAGTGTTTTACATGTTTTTAATTGTTTTGAAGTATTGACTTAACCCACATCCAGTTTTAAAAAAAAAATCCAACCAGTATTAAATGGTCGGTCACTAAACGTTTACGACCTTTGTCAGTGTTTGCTTTCCGGCAGTTGCGTTAGGCAACAAACACACACACACACACACACACACACACACACACACACACACACACACACACACACACACACACACACTTTTTATGCAAATTGTGTGAGTGGCGGGTGCAACCGATTGAGCAGGTCGTGCTTACTCTGTTCGCGAACACCTGGTGTCATCACTGATTTTCAGTGATCCATTCATATAATGTTCACCACTATTTTGTTTTTACGCCCCATGGAATCTGTTTCAGTAGATAATCGAGACTGGTGTGTGCTCTGACGTTCACGTTTTATACTTATACAAATCGACACATCGCTATTTAACGAAATGTTTCTGTTCGAATGCGACATTTACCACAACCCACCCACAACGTACCCCGATTAAGCATATACATTGCACACTCTATGGAACACATTTCAAAGGTCGGCCAAGAGAAACCTAATACTGTTTCCTACGCATCTTGTTCATATAAAAATACATTCTGATTGACATGCACACAACTTTGGCATCTAATGACGCATTCACATCTATTCATTTAATGACACAACATTTTGTATTCAAAGCCGTTAATGTAATGTGATCTTCATATAAAACCCAGCTGTCTGTTTGTTAATAGTCGGGGTCCATTAATTCAAAGCGGTATGGCCTCTTGTTAGAGTCGATTGTCAGTCACGACAACACACGTTGACAATTCCGGGGAGGTATTGTGATTATATCAACACGATAGAAAGAATACATCTGCTGGTTCGTGCAGCAAGTGACAGGGCTGGGTGATACGGGTAGACGAACCTGGCAGATATGACGAACACCTGGCAGGTAATGTGCCCCTTGTTTACACATGTTGCCAATGGTGACGGTGTGCTTATCGAGGCACTTGTGTTCAGGGCAAACTGTGTAATTGCGTTTTCGGCGTTGGAATTGTTTCAATAAATTGGATGGCGAAAGACCGTTGAGTTTCACTCGTTTTCTTGAAGCCTATGCATAAACCTTTGAGTTCAACTTGTCTTCTTGAAGCATATGGATCGTGGAAGACCGTTGAGTTTAACTCGTCTTATTTAAGTATATGGATCGTGGAAGACCGTTGAGTTTATCTAGTCTTCTTGAAGCATATGCATAGTGGAAGACCTTTGAGTCTAACTTCTTGAAGCATATGGATCGTGGAAGACCGTTGAGTTTAACTTGTCTTATTTAAGTATATGGATCGTGGAAGACCGTTGAGTTTAACTCGTTTTCTTGAAGCATGTGAATCGTGGAAGACCGTTGAGTTTAACTTGTCTTCTTGAAGCATATGGATCGTGGAAGACCGTTGAGTTTATCTGGTCTTCTTGAAGCATATGCATAGTGGAAGACCTTTGAGTCTAACTTCTTGAAGCATATGGATCGTGGAAGACCGTTGAGTTTAACTCGTCTTATTTAAGTATATGGATCGTGGAGGACTGTTGAGTTTAACTCGTCTTCTTGAAGCATATGGATCGTGGAAGACCGTTGAGTTTAACTTGTCTTATTTAAGTATATGGATCGTGGAAGACCGTTGAGTTTAACTCGTTTTCTTGAAGCATATGAATCGTGGAAGACCGTTGAGTTTAACATGTCTTCTTGAAGCATATGGATGGTGGAAGACCGTTGAGTTTAACTTGTCTTCTTGAAGCATATGGATCGTGGAAGACCTTTGAGTTTAACTTGTCTTCTTGAAGCATATGAATCGTTGAAGACCGTTGAGTTTAACTCGTCTTATTTAAGTATATGGATCGTGGAGGACCATTGAGTTTAACTCGTCTTCTTGAAGCATATGGATCGTGGAAGACCGTTGAGTTTAACTTGTCTTATTTAAGTATATGGATCGTGGAAGACCGTTGAGTTTAACTCGTTTTCTTGAAGCATATGAATCGTGGAAGACCGTTGAGTTTAACATGTCTTCTTGAAGCATATGGTTGGTGGAAGACCGTTGAGTATAACTTGTCTTCTTGAAGCATATGGATCGTGGAAGACCTTTGAGTTTAACTTGTCTTCTTGAAGCATATGAATCGTGGAAGACCGTTGAGTTTAACTTGTCTTCTTGAAGCATATGGATCGTGGAAGACCGTTGAGTTTAACTTGTCTTCTTGAAGCATATGGATCTGTGAAGACCGTTGAGTTTGACTCGTCTTCTTGAAGCATATGGATCGTGGAAGACCGTTGAGTTTAACTTGTCTTCTTGAAGCATATGGATCTGTGAAGACCGTTGAGTTTAACTCGTCTTCTTGAAGCATATGGATCGTGGAAGACCGTTGAGTTTAACTTGTCTTATTTAAGTATATGGATCGTGGAAGACCGTTGAGTTTAACTCGTTTTCTTGAAGCATATGAATCGTGGAAGACCGTTGAGTTTAACATGTCTTCTTGAAGCATATGGATGGTGGAAGACCGTTGAGTTTAACTTGTCTTCTTGAAGCATATGAATCGTGGAAGACCGTTGAGTTTAACTTGTCTTCTTGAAGCATATGCATCGTGGAAGACCGTTGAGTTTAACTCGTCTTCTTGAAGCATATGGATCTGTGAAGACCGTTGAGTTTGACTCGTCTTCTTGAAGCATATGGATCGTGGAAGACCGTTGAGTTTAACTTGTCTTCTTGAAGCATATGGATCATGGAAGACCGTTGAGTTTAACTCGTCTTCTTGAAGCATTTTGATCGTGGAAGACCGTTGAGTTTAACTCGTCTTCTTGAAGCATATGGATCGTGGAAGAGACCTGCAATCCCTTTCGAGTGACTATTTGTTCTGTCATCAATGTCAGCAATGTTAAAGTTTCAGTTTATGAATAATCCAATCTTGTCAAGGAAAACACGTGGTCGACAGCATGAGCAAAATTCCAAATCATCGGCGAAAAGTGACACGTAAATAGCCGGGTTACTCATTATGACCACCCAATCCTCATTTGAACTTCGGTCACGGCAAGCAGGATACTGGGGGCGTTTTCTGCCCAAGACATCCCACGGGGTTAAGCTCTTTCTTCAAACATTGGGGGCCAGTCGTCTAAGGCGCCACAATTCGCAGTGTTGCGTACCTCTGATTGCT